AATCTTGTTTTTTTCTTATTTATTACTGTTCACGTAAACTATATATATATTACTGCGGCTGACACCGTTGCATTGTATTCCTACAATTTCGGCTAACAAAATTATACGCAAAGTAAAAAATAAACATTTTGGTGCCAAGGTATGTGATAACAAACTAAAACGATATCGTTAATTTGTAGCGAAAACAAAAACGCTAAAACGTAAAGAGAAAACGAGAACGCGCGAATTTGTTTTGAAAAAACGAGGGTATTTCATGACTGCGAGTTTGTGAAAACCTTCACTAAAAAATAAATATGGGTGTGTGCTCCATACACAACTTCATACTAATATATAAATTAATTAATAACAAACAATCACAACACATAATTTTGAATACTAACCAATCAATTTAAATATCTATCTAATACTTTTCATGATTTAATTATTTTTATACTGTATTTATAAATCTGGTACTTCGTTTCGGTAATAAAAACGTATTTTATTTTTGTAAATTAAAAATAATATATATCGGATATATTTTTGTATTTTGATACTTTTTGTTTTTTCGTTATTTCCAATAAATTTAAAATCTTTTAATTTTAGCTTGTTGTAATAGAATTCTTATGGTAATAAGTATTTCAACGAAAGCGTTTATGCTTTTAATTAACCTCTTGCGTTAAAATTATGTGATTCTAAAATCAGATTCTGTGCAGATTAAAACTTCGAGTTATGTCTCTCTTGCATTTGATTGGACGTGACAGATCTATTCCATACGTACGTTTCATTTTAGTCTATCGTATAACGCGTTGTTCTCAACGAAGTTAAATTTTTATGTGTAAGTTCGTTATTCTCTGTCTCTATTACGTACAAACAGAAAACAGACTCACGTGTCTCGCTTGGCTATTCAGATATCAACGCAAGAGGTCAAAAAAGGCGATTGCCCGAATATTAAGATCCGAATCCGCTTCCTTTTCATTTTATCTTAATGTAATATGTCTATTTTGAACATTTGTTTGAGAATATCACGCTTCTTTCACGCTTTTGTCAACTGGGTCATAACGAGACAGCTACCATTTTGTTTTACTCACAAAGGGATGAGAGATATACAAAATGTGATGACATACGCGATCGCAATTCGCTCTCTTTCATTTCTCACTTCCTTCGGTTTCGATGCACTGCTCATTGTTTTTTTTTTGTTTTTTTGTTTTTTTTGGGTTTTTAGGTTTTTTTGAATGAAACTGAGTTTATACACCGTGCGTATAATTTAGGAACTTGAGAATACTGTGACTGGCTCTATCTAATATGCCTTACCCTCTGTCGTTCCGTTTGCTGTACATTTCTTTGTGGTCGTAAAGAAGTATTGCTTAACGTTTGTTAAGAATTGACTCATTTGCACGCATAGTTTTGTTTTTTTTTTCTTTTCTCTCTTTGTCGCGTGCACGTTTTTTTTACCCGAAAAAAAAAACAAAATGGCTGCCGTTCAACGTGACGCATGTACCCAATGTAAAAAAAGTTATTTCTTTTTCTCTTTTTTTTTGTTTACCCTGTTTAATGCACAATTAATAATATAATAACAGCACGTGTATAATATAGCCGCGTATATATATTTGTCATTTATATAATTATAATTAATAGATAAAGAGGAGATAAAACTCTTCCTTGTCAATTGAATTATCGTAATGATGTGTGCACAATAAGGAACTGTTTTACGTTAGCGATATCAACATAAACACGAATGTCCCAGTCATGTAAATTACGCGCGTAATTTATTTAAGGACGATGTGCGGGCGTCAGATAAAAAGAGAGGAATCTCTTACTAAATTGTTTTTGTCAAAATTTTTTGCGTCATATACATATACACCGTACACACACTCACACATCATACACACTTTATCTTTTATTTTTCAGAAATGCAATAATAATTAACGTATTATACAAAATCTCACAAACAAGATCCAAGTATCAATTTTTGATAGACAATAAATAAATGTCTAATTAAACCGATTATAAAATTTATTAGTAAATTTACATCATAGCTTGGATTTTATTTTTTTTTAGTCTGGAGAAAAGTATTTTGAGTTGATAAAAATTTAAAGTGAGAGTAAAAGCCAGAGCGCCAATATTTAACTTTTTTCTCAGTGCGCGAATATTAAATATTTTAATTAAATACTTATTCACTAAAACCAATTAACGTTTAATGAATTTGTTCTTATGTTTACGCTCTCGCGTGTCTCGAAGAATTGAAATTCCTCTCATTTTTTCTGCGCGATATTGACAAGATCACAACAAAGTCAACCTAAAGCCCAATTACGAGTAGTTCATTGGAATCCTTCGATTTCTGCTCATTCATTCGTCAATTGGACTACGTTATGCAATTTAAAGGTAAGTGACGCGTTATTATTATTTGTGGGGGTGGGAAAGAAGAGCAAATATAGAGAATGGCGCGTTCGCGGGAGAACACATTGGAACAACAATTTCAAGTGGCGCTCGTTTCCGCATTGTATAACATACTCCAATTGAAGCTCAGATTTCAAAAGGGGCCTATCTCTCAGCTTCATCGAGCGGGCTCTATGTATATGTATATGTATGTATATATATACATATATATGTATATATATAAGCCTCTTTTAATATCTCGAATAATATTAGTCTGGAAGCGCGAATGAATGTAACATCCGATGTTCAGCCACTGTTTTTGTTTTTTTTTTTTTGTGATATACATAAGTTCCTAAATATAATATTCACTCTCACGTTTATGTCTTTCCTCGCTAGCCCGTTTAAGTTTCTAAATCTAATCTCGATGCTACTAACGATCGCGCGTTTTTTTTTTTTAATACTAAAGAATAACGTTTTCTCGCGCTCTCACGCACACTCTCTCATCACTTTTCTCTCGTACACACACACTCTCTCTCTCTCTCTCGCTCTTTTTCTCTATCTTTCACTCACCGGTCTCTCGCGTTCTCTTTTAATAATTTTAGGAGTTTTCCTTTTTCTTTCAATATCTCCTCGTTCTTTTACCGTTTGTTTTTTTTTGTTTTTTTTTGTTTTTTTAAGTCAGCGTTTGAAGCGCATCGCCGATTGATGCTCTGTACATTGCGGACGAACATTACGCGCAATATCTCTACTATGTATAATATTTGCTAGCTCTCTCTTTTCCTCGGTCTCACACGTTCCGATCGTTTGATCTCCCTCTGTATAAATCTTAAGTTTTGCACCTACATTGACTAACACCGACACTGGTTAATTAGAGGTTTCTTTTCCCTTTGTTTCTCTCTGTCCTGTGTGTGTGTGTATGTATGTGTGTGTTATAAATAGGGCTATAAATCTCTAGTGAAGGACGACGTGCGAGAATCGCTGAGACTTCATACGCTAAGAGAATTCGACAAAAACTCAGAATGTCGGTGTTATTTCCAGCCTTAGACGATATTATAGACGCCGGGAGGATGTGGTAGCTTTTCTCGTATGTGCGCGTGTGCGTGTGTGTTGTTGTAATTCGTGTGAATCCGCAATTGTTGTCACCGAAAAGAAACTCTTGCGTCGTATCTCTCTCTTTTTTTTTCTCTTTTATCGCGCATAAGATCAAGTATATATTACGGCATTACTTTAAAATCAATTACATGGTAATTCGTGTACGCGTTAATATATGTATACATATGTATGTAACGGAGGTTACTGCACGCATAATCGGTTTTAAAGCTATTCAGTAGCCGATTAGACTCATAACAGTCATCTTCCGGCGCTTCCGGAAACACAAATTCCGAGCGGAACTTTGAAGCGAATTGTTCGATGTCAATTAGAATTACGGAGAGAGCGCCGCGAATCGTAACGGTGTTTGCATTGAGCGACTTTGCACCCCATAACGTTGTAACTATAACGAATATACAGTAACAAAAGGAATTTCGATATCTTCATGTTCTTTCGTAACTTACGCATAAATTATATGAATTTATATCGTATTGCCGCACGTGTGCATTGAACGCAACCAACAATTTGAGATAAGGATAGCGGATTTTTGTAAAGGCAAAGTAAAGTCACTCCGTGATTCTAACGATACATATCTAGTACTTCTCCTTGTGAAAGTTCTCTTCTTCTGTTACGCGTCTTATCGTCTCTTTGCTTTGTCGATCCGGAATTTGACGCGACTTTTTTTTTGTTTTGTTTGTTTGCACGTTCCCGTCTTTCCGCCCAAGTAATAATGTTGAAAACGTGATGTCAAATGTTGTAACACGCCTACGTATGTAACCTCTTTCGCTCGGCCGCCACAATATTTTCTCCTGCTTTTTGTTATTTTCGTTACGCACCCGGGAAAGCAGGATTGCGACAGGATAGGAGAGAAGCACCGTTCCGCTATTTAGCCAGCGAAAAGGCACATTGGGAGAGGAGCTTGAATCCGCACGCACACACGAAGATGGTGCGGAGAGAAGGGCAGCAAAAAAAAAAAAAAAGATTACTTGATTTATCCATTCTACTTTTTCATCAGCCTTTATCCCTCTTCTCCTTTTCTCTCTTCTCCGTCATCTCCGGCCGCTGTTAAAATTCTCGTCAATCCTTTCCCCGCGCATTCGATTTAAAACGTGAAAGCCCAGAAACAAAGTTATCTGTTTATTTTCCCAGGTGTAAACGCGCATAATGTTTATCATTATGTAATTGTTAATTATATTCACGCGGATACGCGCATTGCGCACACGGCGTTCGTTAATAATTGCAAAAAATTGCCATAAGAATCATGTAATAATTAATAGGTATAATATTCGTAAGAGAGTTGGTATTTTTTTCTTTCGTCTCTTTATATACCTTAAATACTAGAGGTCTCTCAATATGTTATCGTCTAATAATTACCAATTATATATATATACACACACGCACATATATATAATATATATGTATATGTATGTATGTATATATATATACTATTTATTTATATATATATATATTCTAGACTTAACCGCTTAAATTATTTAGCAATTAATAATATCAATTTAAATTATTTTATTATATTATTATTATATATATATTATATATTCTTTTTTTTTTTTTTTATTAATGTCGGAGAACGGGCTGGCGTCAGCTGTGGACAATTTCGACCACAGTGTTAGCCTTGTTGCAGCACACGGTGTATCTTCTTATTTCCATTTAAACACACTCTGTCTTCCTGTCTTCTCGTCTCTCTTTCCCCTCTCTCTTTCTCTTTCTCTCTCTCTCTCTCTCTCTCTCTCTCTCTCTTTCTCTCTGTCTTTCTTTCTCTCTTTCTGGTCTTCTCTGGACGTCTTTCCTGTTACGTCAGTTTTCTTCTTTAACTTCAACAATATTTATTTTTTTCCTTTCTCTATCTACAGTTGCATCCACTTCCCTGGATTCGACTAATATTCTAAATTCTTTTTTTCTTAATGCGTTGTTATATATATTCACATGTATAATAATACGTCCGGTTGTGTTTTACAACCTGGACCTTTGTCGATCAAAAAATGGATCTTACTTGATCGTCGATCTTTGTTCAATAGTATTTTTTGCGTATTGCAACTTGTGATTATTTATTTGGGCGCGGAGGACGTGCTTGTGGTACTTCTTCCTATTTCATCCAGAGATCATCATCCGTTGCGTTTAGCTGCCTCAAATCGTTCATTATATCAAGCGACCGTGCTGCGTTCTGCCGTCTCGTCCATCCTAGCAAAAACAAGATTAAAAGTTTAAATAAATAAGTTAGATGTTTGTTCCTCGCTACCTAACAAAGTGTTACCTGAAAATCTGGTTCGTAATTATTAATTTACACACGATCGATAATAAAGTATGAGAAGGTAAATTTAAACAGACACAAATATATTGTATTTTTGATGTACGTTTGAAATTGCGCGACCGTTAATAGTTAAACATTACGTACTTCGCAAACAAATCGAGGACAAATATACTTCTGTTGCTGCTATAAATATAATTTCTTGTTCTGCATAAACTCTTTTATTACTATTTTATTATATTTTTGACGGAATATATACGATTTTGAGAAATAACGTACAACACACACATACCTGTTATTAGGTCTTAACAAGGCTCAATGGTAGCCATTAGTGAACGCCGCTGGTATTAAGGGACCCTGGAACAAAATAAGATCGCGGTCTCGTCTCAAAACTTTTATGAGAAAGTAGTAACAATTATTGTTGTACGAAAAGTATGTGTGAGCGCAAAAAGATAAATCTTTTAAGTTTGCCTGCATATTTAAGATTGCAACGTGCAATTGCGGTACTTGACCTTTTGAGGCTGTGGGTTATTTATTTATTTATTTATTTTTGAATACTATTCGTATCAAAATTTTATAATGTAAAGTTATCAATTATTAAGTGAGAATTGCAAAGGACTTATTGATTTATAGTTACAGAAAAAAAGTCTTGTACTAAACGTGAATTTAAAAAATATTTAGCAGAAAAAGAATGACAAATTCCATAAAAAATTTAAAAAAAATGCAACATATAAGCGACATATTGAATATTTGATGTATCTTTTCTTGATATATAAATCAATGTGTATAATAGTTGATTATACTATACCTGACGAACCAGAGACATACTTATAAAATATAGAATCAGACTGTATAAAGCGTACAGTAATAATATATAAGTACATAAAAGCAATTTTACTTGTAAAATTGATAACCGATTGCATCAAATATAATTGATTAGCAAAGGGGGTATGTGTGTATCATACCCACACAGATTTGCTCATTATCAATGCATAAAGCTGGTGAAATTGCAGTGTTGGAACGAAAGGATAAAGAGCCCGATTAACGGTTAAATAATTTTATTATACTTAGTAAAAATTTTACGTGCAATACGACGTCTTCAAAAAACATAAAACTGTAAATGTGTATATTAAATCCCGTTCAAATCCATTTTGCTTTTACTTCGTTCAAATAAGTTGCGTCGATGAATATTCGTTACAGAAACATTGATGCTTATGTACATTCAGCAAAACTGGTTCAACGGATTATTCGTCGGTATTCGTCATATTTTAAACGCGATATAAAAGCTAAATTCTATTAAGCTTCTGTTTTTAATCAATTTTTATGTTTCTCTTCCCGAATCTCTTTCTCGATTTTCTTCGCGATTTCTTTCTCGACCTTATTCAAATGCTAATTATATAACTCGGTCTATTTCAAATTGATGAATGTCCTCCATTCATAAAAGACATGAAAAACAATTGACTTCTTTTTCGACATCATAAGAAAGTTACAACCTATATTGAAAAAAAAAAAACACGACGGAATATAAATTGACGAATAAAAAATCCGGCGAAGTTTTCCGATTAAGGAATCGTAGACGCTCTCAGTCCTTTCGTTCCATTTAGTCTGAGGAGGGGCCCGATCCGGTGACAAAGGGGGAGAATTAAGTGGACTTACGGGACTGTAGTTGAGCGGGGCACGGGATACGGCGATCGCGGGGAACGCGGTCGTGGGGGGCTGCGGGCTAGCTGCGGCCTGGACGTAGCTTGCGACTGCGGAATCCGCGGCTGCGGCTGCTGCTGCGGCGGCGGCGCTCGAGCTGTACATGTCAATCGGGCCCGGTGAATTGGCCGCCGGGAAAGATCGACCCTGCGGCCCACCGTGACCGCCGGCCGCGTGCGGCGACGCCGGCGGGAACCCGGCCTGCGCTGCGGCCGCCTGGTAGTTGTTCATCACTGCAACGAACCCGCGTCAATTCTTCACCCTCTTTAACCCGGCGTGTATGTGTTGTCTTCGCGATTATGACAATTTACTAAGTCAAATCTCTACCAAGAATTTACTAAATCTCTCAATTATCATGGCTCAGAGAGATAAGGTTTTGATAAATCATTAGATGATCGTAACACAGACGTTAGATTTTATTTTAACATAAATTCTTTGATATTATTTACTTAAATAATAGAAAATTATACGTCCTTTTTCTTTATTAGAATCATCTTTATCTGAACCATAATAATTGCGGACTCAAATGAAGATTTTCAAAGAGAGATGTCACTTTTAACCTGATCGTGAAATGACATTAAGCAACACTGAACACGTTCAAATCATAATTACACAGCGCACAGTATTTCATAAAGTGAACGACAATTGTTGTGTGTGGAGTATATTCTGATTGTTTTGTTTTGCCCGTGATAGCGAGATACGAGCGTTGCATGCCTTATCCCGTTTAGGAATCTTTCATGCAAATACCTTAAAGCGCGGTGGTTGCTCCGTTGGTGTGTTTGCCCCGTTTTAACTTTTTCGCTTCTTTCCGCTCATTAATATCAAACTCATTTCAGACGTATAACGATACGCTTTAACGGTCTAAATCTCATTAAAGATAAGATTATTCTGTAACTCGTGATGCGACATTTGTTGTAACGAGCTCACGCACATATTCGTGCACAAATATAAATTAAGATCTTTGGTCTACGTTTTACTTTGAGAATTGTGTGTATGTGTGTGAGTGTGTATGTACGCCTCGCGCGTCGTTTGATCGACTATATAAATGTCATTACATCGACGTATATATATATACGATACACACATTAAATACAAGGAGAAGGATAATAGAGTCTGTTTCAACAAATTGTGTCTCGCAATGCATTTTCTTGAAGAAAAACAGAAAAGAATAAAGAAAAGAAAAGACACTCATATATAAAGCGTATCGCAAGGCAGCTTTTACGTATATATACGTATACATATTATATATACATGTATTTATATGATTATAGAGATAATGAAAATAAAGCGCCTTGCACATATAAATACAATATATATATACATACATATATATATATATATATATGTATATGTATATGACATTGTACAACACGTCGCCGGGACAAGCAACGCAATCGCACGAGGCACTGATGGCGATCGATTTGAAGAGTTATGAGATACAACAGGCTTTCGACTACGATTACTGTTTTCACGCTTCTGTTACGCACAAAGATCGATTGGAATCTTTCTTCGTGCCGTTAATTAGGAAAGTCAAACGGAACAAATTTTTCACACGACTGATTTGATTATTAAAGAGAAGTCAAGCGACAAAACTAATAAAACTTACCCCATTTCACACACGTTTGGCTCTCATTAAAGATACCCGTGAGAATACAAAAAAGAAGCGGCGAGAAATTATGAAAATGCGAACAATTATGTAGAATTTGGTGCAACAGTGAACAGAATCGAGTCTAATAAAAGTTCGCCTTCGTATTTTTTGACAATTGTGATATTTGTTTGTAGACAACTACGTGTGTTTTCTTTTGCGACACTTTTAGTAAATAACACATCCGACCGATGTGATCCGCTTTACTTTTTGCATAGATTACAGCACCGTAAAAAATGAATTTTAAGAGAGACTCTTAATTTTCTACACCTTCCCGGAAAAATTTCATAAATTGAATTCATTAACTCTCTTGCACCAAATCCGACTGTTGACGGGAGAATAATAGCTGCGAAAACTAATTTCAAGCTCAAACTCAAAGCTAGATTCCTCTCTCTCTCTCTCTCTCTCTCTCTCTCTAAATACGTAAATAAACATAAATTTTTAATTTATAGCGCCGTCTAAAGTTTTTGACACTTCTAAAAAGTGTGTGTTTTTTATCCCATGCTTCTCTTTCCCTATCTAAATAAACTTTTTCCTATCTAAAACTAACTCTAACGATAAAAAGCTATTTTCAAACATTTCTCTCTCTTAACCCCGCCAACAACTGCCATTCGTATACCTCGTGTACAAAGTAAGAGGGAACGAAATGATAGCGAAACTACTCCGTATTACTCTCGAAACTGGTATTGCACACGGGGAAATAGTGTCCCGGCGTCGTCGTCGTCCGCATTCTCGAACTTTTAGCACTTATAAGAAGTCCGACGGAGATAGCCAATAAGAAGCAGAGTAGAGATTAATGTATCTGACTTGTGAACGATTTCGCGTGTCGCGCGCGCTTGCGTTGTGTTCATGCGGAGGAGAATCGCATAAAATGTCATACGATATGTACTTTTGGATTAACGGGGGACAAAGAGAAGAGAGAAAAAGGCAACGAAAGAATAGGCGAATAAGAGGAGAGAAAGAAGTTGGTGGAAGGAAAAGAGGGTCGCGGTACGCGAAGAATTTGAAACTCTCTCGCGACGGGAACGAAGAAAAGAGAGGAGCAGAAGGGGGGAGAGGCTACGGGAAACACACCAAAAGCGCCCTGGCGTACAATCTGAAAACCCATTCAGCTTTTAAACTCTTGACAATGGCGGCCGGTTACAAAGTTTGTGCTACGACGGGGGGAGGAAGAGGAGAAGAAGAAGAAGGAGGAGGAGGTGGAGGAGGCACAGGGGACGAACGAGCGCGATTCAAAAGTTTGATTTATTTGAGAGGAGATTGCGGACGGCACGACGGCGCGACGGCGGGTAGATCGGGCAGATTCTAGATGGGGGAGAGAGAACACGAGGAGGAGAAAAAAAAAAAAAGAAAAGAAAAATAAAAGAGCGGAAGCGTATTTTGCTGCCGGCATCTCGGCGCCCTCGCATGTGCGACACTTCTTTTAAGGAACACCAAAGTCTCTCCGGCTTCTCTTCTTCCTTCCTTTGCGAGAGTCTTTCGGCGGAAAGCGATCGCGCGAAAATCAAGGGATCAAGCATTGTAATGAAGTATCGATGTGAAAAAAAGAGAGAGTAGCTAAATGTTTGTGTGTAAAAGAATGTTCTAGTTTGTATAACATGGAAAACGGATTTTCAAACGAATTTTCAAACAAATTATATTTTTCAAAAAACAGAGGAAAATTATACACGTGGAAGAAAAAACTAAAAACAAAATCTCCCTCATTTTATTCACGTCTCGCGCAAATGTCGTGACTTCTCGCAAAGTTTTCCCTAGTTGATAAATCGAGATTCGCAATAGTTTTGACGACACAGGATGATTTGACGTGACAGGATGATTTTGCGTAAAACAATCATGCAATCATGCTCAACAAAATACTCATGCTTTTCGCGAACAGACAAAGTGTCTTTCCTGAAATTACAAACATCAAGAGAGAACCAAACTCTCTTCCGCCGATTATCAAACAATACAATTGAAATTATTAAGAAACAATTTGTCTAAAATCTTGTTCACTAAATGCTTAAACAGTATTACAATAATCTCGCAGAAACGATGTTTATGCGCGCGCGATTTCGACGCAAAACTATCGCGTTCAACATCTTATCGTAACATTTCGTTCAAGTAAATGCGAATATTGCGAGTTATTGCATGTTTTATAGATACACAATCTTGCTTAGATGCATAATTTTGCATGGTTAGTTAACATAAAGGCCATTCCTGTAATGGATCATTAGCATTTGCGGACGGATAATCGATCGATGCGCGCGAGATGAAAAGCGAATCGAGAAAGCGCATTACATTCACAGCCGAGAAAAAGAAGAAAAAGAAGAAGAAGAAGAAGAAGAAGAAAGAGTTTTAAGACGTACCAGAAAGTGCTTGTGTAAGTAAGGGCGTGTTGTTGTTTGGGGTGAGCTGGCCATTGGTTAGATCCACTGAAACATAAAACTTCGGTCACAACTGCGCTATACTTGCAACGCGCACATATGCTCTCGCTATATGTATTTTTCGACTATCACTCGGCAATAGTCTGAAAACTAATATATTAAAAACAAAAAAAAAAAAACAAACAAATAAAAACAAAAAAAAGAATAGAACACTGAGAGAAATAATGGCGCGCCAAATGGATGACTGAAAGGAAAACAGATGAAGAACAGTACACAACAGATTTCTCGCGAATGTGTGTTGCTTCGTCACTCTAGTCTTCGGGTTTCGCCTAAGGACGTCCGAGGAGGACGTCCGAGGAGAACGTCCGAGAATCCTCGAATATATTCGCGCACCTTGTTACTTCGTCGTCGACGCTCAACGTGTGGAAAGTGGCTCTCGAACGTTCGAAAAACTCTGACGACAGTTGTTTCTTTCGGAACGAAATTACGATCAATGTGTGGATGAAGTCGGGAGGGAACGTGTGTGTGGAGAAAAACACACGTTGGAAATAACAGAAGCGCTCGGTCGTTGCCGAAAAAAAAATGTGACAGGTGTTTTCTCCGGGCACTTAGAAAGCTTTCTCTCGTATCGACGGTATCAGCTTACTCTATTGAGCGAGGATGCTCGAAACCACGATAGTGTTTATCGCCAAGACTACGGTTTCGATTCGGATGCACATCGACTGAATGTGGCAATAATGGAACCTACCTACGATGTATCGATCTTGCGTCTCTCTCTATCGAGACACACCACGGCGCAAAATTCCCTTGAGTAGAACTCCCTGCATCGAAATGTACTTTAGTATTAATATTGGAGAGATACACATGCGCGCGCGCGTTATTAATTTTATCCGTACGTATCTCACTCGAACTGTCAAAAATATTTGACAGTTGTTCGAGTGTTACGCGAAGCGAATAAATAGAGAGTCAACCGACATCGCGATAGAAATAATAACAATTACTATCGAGAATAGTCGAGAGAAATTTTAAGAAACAAGATTTTTTTCGCACGCAAAGAAAGAATTGTACAAAAAACGCGAAAAACGAAGCGGAACGAGTGAAGAAAATGGTCGCACTTTGCGAAAGAAATCGCGCATAGAAGATTTCCAGATAGAAGAGGAGAAAGAGAGAAAAAGGAAGAGAGAAAGAAACAGAGAGAAGAAGAAGAGAGAGAGAGAGAGAGAGAGACAGAGATCAATGATGGAAGAGAATTGGCGAAATGTGTGCGAGTGCATGTGTGTGTGTGTGTGTGTGTGTGTGTAAAAAGGCAGACGAGAGAAAAACAGGAGGAGGTGTTTCGGTGCGTATTTCGAGTAAAGTGAATGTCGACTTCATACATTTCTTCCGGAGTGCATTGCGTTGGACATGTTGTATCGGCGTCTCCGTATACGTACGGCCTGCGTTCTCGCTTCCGGTTCCGTGGTAGTACACCGCCGGCATTCCTGATATTAATAAAGAACAAGAAGAAAGCTGAGAATGATGAGAAACAAAAATAAAATGGAGGGCGGGGAGAACGATCTGCAAATCGCAAACTGTTACCGAGACAAAATATAGTACTTGGCTGGGATTTGCGTGAATTATATAACTCAGACACTCCAAAAAAGCAAATATATATATATTAATTAAATAAATATCAAGTAAATATGTATTAATCAAATAAAATTTAAAATCATCTTATAGGCAAGAAAAACTATTTATTTATTGAAAATAAATATTCATTTGGCGAATGTTTCGTGGCACGAAAAGTGGAATGTAGGACAGAACGCAATGAGGAAATAATCAGGAACAAAAGCGTGTTAAAACTTGTTTGTTCAGCTCATATTTGTAACAAGCGATGATTATGACGTGAAATGCTACAAATTCATTTCCCAGCGTGACATAGTAGTAGTTCTCCCAAGAGAGCAATCACTAATGTATGAAGTATCTTAAGAAAGAGTTTTCGATCCCACAAAGCCGTAGATAGTAAACCAATCAGATTAACAACACGCGATTAAATAAAAAGCATTTAGTGAGAATAATCTGCGTACATAAAACAATTATGGATATAAGCGCGTGCGGATTTTCTATTTATGAGATACACGTAGTCGATGTGATGGAAAAAATCAAATGTGTCGGGAATAACGGCGAGAACGGATCAAACCGTGTCTTCGATATGTCGTTAATATGAAAGAAGAGATAATGGCCTTTCTATATACAGCGCAGCAACGTGTATTTTCATGGAGAGGCCTCGTTTCGGGCGCACGACTATCGGCGCTGATAACGCGATTGCGAGAGAGGGTGAATGGACCATAAATCGTGGATCGACGTGATTTGTATGGGGTATCACGGCGCTTAATGGTGTGGCTTGTTTCTATCGACATGCTCCGACCGGAAGTTCCGAGCTGCCATAGTTAGAGGGGGAACACTCTATAGATCTGTCCGTAGCCTGACGATTTACGTGCGTCCGTATCTTTTCGATGGTCGGCAACATGAATGAATCATGTTCGACGAAAGATAGGAAAACTTGAATAGAAAAAGTCGCGTCTTACGATTACAATAATTCGCCGTTTTGAGAACATTAAAATATTCTCAGTAATCAGCGCGTGTTGTGCGCGCTTTTAATTAAGCAAATACCATAGATACAAAACCAGATATGTGTGTATAACAAAGAGGGAAAATATATTTTGAAAGTGTGTGTACGTGTGTATATGTCGCGTGTACAGCTTTGTATAGGTTGACGAATGAAACGGAAATTCTTGCCAGTGATGTTTATCGGAAATTTCGTGTAAAGAAAGAGAACCCGTGCATCTACGTCCGGTTGTCGAAACGGGCGCGGCTTCCGGATTTTGCGACAATCAACGGTTTTGCATCGATAACTCTCGAGATCGTATCTCTCGACTCGGCTAAAAATAACTCCGCTCATACAACAAAGAGTATATAATCATTACGTATGTAATTATATATTAGATATATATATACATACCCACAATATAATAACTTAATAAACGTTAGATTAAAACTAATATTCTACATCACAAATATTAGAGAAACACGTGTAAGTGTGTGTGTGTTAGCGAAAACAAAGAGGAAGAGAGAGAGGGTGGAAAAAGAGAAAGAGAAAGAGGAGCTGGAGAGGGAGAGATACTTTATTGCATGGGTTTGGCCATCCATCGAAACGACCGACACGTAGGGATCTGGGCCAAGAGTTCATCTATTTCGAGTGTATTTCCAGCTGACGTAAACGCGATCGAGACTTTAGATAAGGACTTTGCACCGTTAAGTCTACTCGGGGTGGAATCCGAGTAATGCAAAACCAAAGAACGCTATAAGTCTTACTAAAATCAGTTTACACAAAATTGATTGCTTAACTTGGAGTTGATTACACGCGCAAAAGAAGAAAGCGAAGTATCAACTAACGATTACGAATATCGATGAAGAACCGAACACATATATCTCTATATATATTTATCATGAGATATAATTTCGTTTGCTAATCGGATCTGCGCCGAAATAAAAATCTGAATCGAAAGAGATTTCGCAGATGTTTCGACACAGATCGCCTGTGTTTGAAAAATTCTAGCGAGAGAAACTGCACCCAAGAGTCGTGTGAAAAAGCTATGTATGTTACTTTAAGTGCACGGTCAAAAAATGCGAAAAGCAATGTGTAATTTTGCACAATTACGAGAAATAGCGAAGTGCACACAGACGTTTATGACGAAGCAACACATTCGGTCGAGTTTAAATTATTATTCAGTGTCGTAAAAGTTGTAGAAGAGCTGACTAACTATTAAATGTGTTAATTATTAATTCGGGCGCATCCATGCTCGGCAACGCGGAAGAATTGTTCTTTTTTTTTTTTTTAAACAATAAGTTAAAATCGTTAAACACACAAATCAACATAGGTGTATCATTTTTCGAGCGGCAGAATCCTTTCCCACACTCTAAGCTACACATACTCAGTAGAACTCAGTGATTATGTGCCGACAACAATAATATTGTAGTTTATACATATATTATAAATATGTGTATAAAAATATTATAATATACATATCATCGTGTGGTGTGACAAGGTCAAAGTTTCTAAGCTACAAACTCGTTAGTATATATCACGCTGCTAATTCTAATTAGCGTTCTAATGCTAGCGGTCAAATAAATGGCAAGAAATAATACTGTTCGGGTTGTACAATTTTACGGCCGGCTCTAGCACGAAAAAAAACTACCTTCGCGAATAATACGCAAGATAATTTGTATAAGTTAATGTATCAGGAAAATATAAGGATGTATATATAGATATATAATATATATATATATATATACATATATATATATATATGTGTGTGTGCGTAATATATATTATATATTATATATGTGTATATATAATATGAAGATGTAAAATGTCTATAATATTTATATGTTTTATATAGCAAACATATAAATATTATATATAAACATTTATACATGTGTAGCAAGTAGTCAAGTAACATATGGACACACACAAAGAAGATATATACCACACTCATTCTATCTACGTTTTGTCTAAATCTACCGTTCTATAAACTCTATGTAGAAGCCGTAGACGAGATGTCGTGACAGATCGCCTTACTGCTTCTAACGGCTCTCTTCTTCAAATGAACTACTTTTTATCTCTATATATGTAAATATAATATATTTAACGAACGTAGATAACACTCTAAAACTTTTTATATACGATAAAATACTTCTTACTTTCGCTTGAGATACACTATGTCAATTCGGACTTGTACTATGATCTAAATATCAGCCAAGATTGCCAATTTGCGCTCTATTTAACAATTTGTGGATTGATATCAAAAAATTCTTACAAATGACAATATAAAAATATAAAAATAATTTTTCAGCATCAAAACAGCAAGTAGGCAATCGTAGCGTCAACTAAGTTATTTACTATCAATACATTATTAATTATACGAAGTAATTTACAACGACTTTCTTTGTACTACTTTTAATCTGAAGACTATGTATAATTATTTATATAACTCGCTTTATCTAAATTATCTACACTGTTGCACACCACCGCGGGAAGATTTGCGTATATTTGTTTCGCTGATCTGTTATCTGTTCGACGCAACAGTTTTTTTTTTTTTTTTTTTTTTTTTTATTTCAACACAGTTCTCTTTGCGCGTTCTCTTTCATTGTATCAAAACGCAAGAACAATCGACCCGTTGTGGTTTAAACTAGACGGTTTTACTATGAACAGTAATAATTAAGGTCACTTCATAAACGGCTTTTTCTAAAAAGATAGTAGATGTAGGTAGATGGTAGATTACTCGCCCCTAGGTGACTGCATCTTCAACGAAGTCTTCGTCATCTCGGCAACGGTTCTGTCCCCGGAGATGCCTCCCTTCCTTTCTTTTTTGTAATATATTCAACTCGAAATTCGTTTTTTTTTTTTTTTTTTTTTTTTTTTTTTTTTTTTTTTTTTTTTAACGGAAAAAGTGACTCATAGCCGTGACGAGCAAAACCGTATGCCACAATATCAGAAAAAGACTGACAGAAGAATGTACGAAAATAATAATGACACATATCGAAGTGTAAAGAAGAATTGAAACATTTACAAACTAAAAATCATATGTAATATTCGTCTGAAATTTGAAAATACTTGTGAGAGCAAAGGTAAGCGGTCTTTCAGTGCGTCTTTCGGCACTTTCGACGGGCTATGAGTCGCGCGGGGAAGATCAAGAGTGCTTTCACGAGGCTGATTTCAGTTTTCACTTGAACTACACAACCACAGTCTTGATACATGCAAGCGTCACTTCGACCGGCGCGCAAATTAGTTTACAAAGCTCATTAGTTACAAAGAGCAATTACTGTACTCGTATTCGTAAGTACAGAGATGCTCAAGAACATCAATAATAAGTTTGTTTAGTTTTTCCGACTAGTAAAAAAATTGTTTTCTCACTCTTTGTACGATCGTAATAATTGTAATGCAACAATCCGATTCTGCGCTAATTTAAATATTCGTGAATTACGCTCGTCTAAAGATCAACTTTGACAAAAGAATAATAACTACTCACACTGAGAACGCGAGCCTAAAATATCAACTATCGATAGCCCTAAGCAAGCTCTATGAAAGTAAAGAAGATTCTCCAATGTTTCTCCGTGACCGGCTAATGTGATTTGATTTTTGTACAACGGAAACTTTGAATTATTTTCGCGAAACATCATTATAACGAGAAAGAGAAAAGATCTCTCTAACACACGGTTCTCCTCTCTTTTCATGCGACGTATTTATCAAACACACACGCACGCACACACATACAATCTCTCGTATGATACGGTCTTTTTTTTTTCAAACCTACGGAGACATCAGGCTAAGTTCTAGTGAAAACTAATGTTAGGCTCGAGCACTCATACAGATATATAAAACGAGAGAGAGATGTGGAAGAGTTCTGGATATATAAACTAATATACTATGAGCTAGGCA